ATTCCCGGGATCTCCGAAGCCTTCCATGCGAACACGTCGGAGTTTTCACTTAGAAAGATCCCTTTTGAACTTGTCCTCAAGGCTTTTCAACCTTAGTGTGCCCTTTTCTTTCCTTCCCAATCTTCCAGCTCTCCTTGGGGTTCTGGACGAATTGTCCAGTTCCACCAAGTTTACTTCGTTTCCACATGGGTGTAGGGATTTGTCAATGTTTGCCCTCGGCATCTTCAGGGCTTGATGCTTGGTGGAGATCAACATGTCCCAGTCGTGTATTGTAGGTCGACCAATGATCACGTTGTAAGACGACGCGGTGTCTACCTCGACGAAACGAACCCTTCCAGCACGGAATGAGTCCTTCGTCCCTAAGGTCAGCTTCAAATCAATGTAGCCCTTTGGGGGGGAGATGATGCTCAATTGAACCCGACCAGCTCGGTGATGCATGGTTTCAAGTCCTTCTCGTCCAGGTTCATCCTCTGAAAAACGTCCCAGAGAAGTATGTTTGCCGAGCTCCCGTGATCAATAAAGATTCTCTTAACCCGGCAGTTGACTAGCACTCCAGTGATCACCAAGCCGTCAGTGTGTGCGGGTACAACCATTTCTAGTTCCTCCTGAGTGAAGAACAGTCTTGGGGTAAGGATTGCTGGCTTTCCCTTTAAAGGTCGGCCTGTCTCTTACTGACATGAACTCCTTCAGGTACTTTCTTCTTGCGTTGGTTGTGTCTCCTCCTCCACCCAGAGCTCCGCTTATCACGTTGCACTCAAATTCGGCTTCCTGGAAAGCCTCATCTTTATCTTCGACCTCTTTGCCCTTCGTAAGGCGGTCTTGTCTCTGATCCTTTCTATCCTTTCTCTCCGGGCTTCGACTTCGGCTCCGGCTTCTCTGCCTTCGCTTACTATTCTTCTTGCCCTGAGTTCGGATGATGTATTGTTTCAATTTCCCCTGTCTGATGTGTTTTTCGATGGCATCTCAGAGGTCCCAGCAATCATCCGTGATGTGACTGTTCTGGTCATGGAAAGCGCAGTATTTGTTTCTATCCAATCCACTCTTGGCTTTCAGGGGTCGAGGTCTCTCGACGTTGCGCATTTCAGTCTGGGCCACCTCTTTCCATATCCTAGACCTGGACATGTTCAAAGGCGTGTAATCATCATATTTGCTCCTTGGGGATCGGTCGTCCGACCTCTTGTCCTGAGTGTCTTTTCCCTTTTTCGACCCTCGTTGATCCCGGTCTTTGTTTTTCTTGCTTGGGCTCCGACGATTCAGGCTTCGTCCTCTAGAATCCCCATAAGCTTTCTGCATGTCCTCAACGTCAATGTATTTGTCCGACCTTCTTCGAAATTCTTCCAGGTCATTAACCGGGTTCTTATAGATTGACTTCGCAAGCGGAGAGTCGCCATCTAATCCCGAGATGATCAAATGGAGGTGTACTGACTCAGTTAAGTTCTGAACTTTGAGGGCGGCATCTTTAAACCTATCGAGGTATTTCCTCAATGACTCATTCTCCTTCTGTAGGATTCTTCCCAAGGCGTAGGCCGGCATTGGATGCGCCTTGCTTGTTGCAAAGTTCAGGCTAGGTCCTCGAACGAGTCGATCGAGTTCCTAGGAAGCCTGGTTATCCGAGCCATTTCCTGACCTGTCAAAGTCGTCGCGAAGATTCTGGCCTTAATAGGTCCAATGATCCCGTTGAACAGCATCTCGGTCTTGAAAGCCTCTAAATGGGCCTCTGGGTCCTGACTTCCGTCGTACGGAGGTATCCTGGTACTCTTGAATCTCGGCGGTATTGCCAAGTTCATGAGCCTTTCAGTGAATGGGCTATCGTTAGCCTCCTCATCAAGGAGATAATTATCCCCTTAGTTGTTGCCTGACCCTCCACCCTCCTGATGATTGCCGAGGTGGGGGTTCTGCATATTCTGCACGTTTCCTTCTGCCGCAGCCGCGTTCTGACGTTGCGGCCCGCCATCTCCAGCATGGCCGGTCCCTCCAACTCGGCCTTCAGCGTTTTGATGTTGGGGTCCGCCATTCCTTCCAGCTCGGCCTTCAGCGTTTCGGTTTTGTAGCACGGCTTCAAATGCCTGCATCCTCTGGGCATCCAACCTTTGTTGAGTCAGGAATCTGTTCTCCATTTCCTGTAACCTTTGAAGGATTGCGTTCATGACCACCGTGGTCACATCTCGCGGTGGCTCATTGTGTGGAGGTGGGCGAACTGAGGCCGCTATCGTGTTGAGCTGGGTTCTGGAGGGCAGTCCTTGAGTGCCGACCTCGCCGACCTGGACCTCTACCAGCACAGGGGTCGTAGCCGATTAGAGCTGTTTCAATGCAGGTTGGTGTGACGGCATACCATAAGGCCGAGGCTGAGATTGGTGTGACGGCATTTGGGCAGTGCTAGACGTCGAACGGGTGTTCGTCATCGTGGAATGGGAATCAAAATTTATCGTTCCCATTGACGGCGCCAATGTTAGGTCCTGGATAGACCGTATTGCTATACCGTGAGGTATGCGCTCAGAGATAGTGTAATCAGATGTATACTAGGCTTATAGCCGAGGTCCCAATCACTGCGCACAAGCAATAGGCTTATAGCCAAGGGGTGGGTGTGTGTGCAGTGTGGGCAGTATTCGTAAATAGGTTAAAAGTGTGTACCTGGGGTCCTTAGGCTCTTATTTATATGGATTACCTTCCTAGGCCTGGGCCTTTTGAGCTCCCCAGATTGCATTAGGGTTCAGCTCCCTTTCTGTTGGGATGTGACCCTTATCTTGTGTACTTTGACTAATCGATGTTGTTGAGAAACTCATGAATCTATCTCTTAATAGATTCTTAGGTGAGTGGTTAGGATATGATATTCATATCCATAACAAATACAATTATTACAAGTAATTGTATTTCAGATATTTATGTTTTGGCTTTGTAAAAGGTGTGGTGGAGCAACGGAGGTAGGGTGTGCAATGACCCCCACCCACTCGTTTCAAAATTTATAATGTACTCGTGAACAAGCTCAAAGTTCTGTACTCATGACCTCATTTTTGCTGATGAACTGAATAGAAAAATTACAGGTTCCAATGTTCAGAACGAGTAGTTGCGATTGTCCTTTGCAAAAACACATGGCAACGGCAACGGCAACGACCATATTATAAAATTGTGTTTAATTCCTATACAAACCTTGACGAGTTTAAAAGGAGGGTCTAATGGACCAAAAATGACATTCTAAGGAATAGAGCTTGTTGCAAATATGCTGTCATTCCCATTTATTTATTTGATCTAATAATATAGCGGGGATTTCAAAATATCACCCAAAAGAATTATTTATGATATTAATTATTATTTGACTTCATAAATTTAATACTAAAATAATAATATAAATTTATGTGGAGTGAAAAAAATATTGACAGGAGAAAATGAAATTTGGGACCGTCAAAATAGTGCATATGATATCATTAACAACCTCGCTAGTCGCTAGGGTGGGATAGCAAAATTAATTTCGCTATGCCACCCAAGGAAACTGCTAAGGTGTCACTGTGATATGGTATCTGGTATCACTAGGTACGTGAGTTACTCCTATTATATTTATGGGTAAAGTTACTATCATGTAACATAACCTAATCAATTTTTCCTACTCAAACAAAGATGAATGTGAGTCCCATACATATAATAAAAATAAAAAATGCTAGTGCGAAAACCAATGTGTGAGTGGGTAAAAAATTTTATATCATGTTACATAATATTAGTTTTTCTCTATATTTATTGGGTTTAAGTTTTTTGCGGTTGGTTGCAGAAAAGTTTATTTACTACTCTCACAAAAAAAAAGTAGTAGCTTCCATAAAAAATAAAAAAAATTGGGTCCCATGTTATAGAGTTTATTTTAAAAAAAAAATTGCCTATATACTCCTGGAAGTAAATTGTTTGGCAGATAAAAATTTGTGCAGCATTTACAGAAACATTTTTCTCATATTTATAGGAAAAATATTTGTCATTTAAAAGAAAATAATTTTATGTCATTTTTAATGAAATGACGTGTTTTGATGCATATTTGTTATTTTTTTTACGTTCTCTCTCTTACGATATTTTATCTTTTTTATTTCATCCTAAATTAATTATATACGTACATATTTTATAATTATAAAAACTTTTCTCGTATATTTCTTCTTTAGAATTACACTTTTTAAGTTCTACTTAAATTTAAATCGTCCATTCATGGCAGAGAATATTTAGTAAGTAATTCATGATATATTTATGTATGGGCATACGATAGAGAAAACAGAATCGCTCCATAAAATGACAAAATGGAGTTACTTTCCTATTGCCAATATTATTGAAAACTTGATTAACCATTGAATTAAGCTGGATGATTAATCCAAGGTACACAGATTTCAATTTAGACCAATATCAGCAAATAATAATAAAATGGATTTTGGCTTAAACTCTATTCTTTGGTTGTTACCATGCCATGAATCAAATTATCTTGTTCTTCCATCAGAGAAAAAAAGGATAAGGGTTGTTTCCCATTATATAAAGGGTAATGAAGTTCTCATGTTGCATAAGAGGAGGACAAATTCCTACTCACCCATCAATTCACATACTTCTACTTTTTTGGTTTGTTTTTTTTCTCTCTCATAATGGTCCCACTTCGGTTGAGTGGGAAATATAAAGCCCTTATATAAAACAAGGGAAATGCTTTTCTCCTTTCACATGAGACAAGATTTTATTCCTACACATACATCGACTTTCGTGTCAAGCTTTTGTTTTTGTTTTTACTTTTTTTTAAATTGCTGGTCCCACTTTTTTGTCTCAATAGGAGACCACTCTTCTCTACTGTTAAAGGAGAAAAGTATTCCCCATAAAACAATGGTCTAATTTAAGAACTCAAGAGTAGGATTATGTAGAAAACCAATGGCATAAAATGAAGAAACAAGAAAGAGAGGAGTTAAAAGCAAAACATAACTGAGCTTATTATGCCTGATCTTATTACACTGAAAAGTTGATTATAAGAAAGTAACTAAATTGCTCTCTCCATGCAGCTACAATGGAAAATTACAACACTATAGGAAGCAAGAGACTTCCCCACAAATTTGCACATGGACTCCATTGGTGTCATCTCAATGTGCATCAAGCAAATTTTCATCCTTCACCTCTGTATAACAAGCTGAACACCAATATATATATATACACATATCCACAATCATCCCAACAATCTTTACAGGCTTTCAACCAGATGGTGTGTTGTGTTCTTCTGCAACTTCACCTTGGTAAAGCCAAACCAATGCTTGTGATGATATAGAAGTGTAAAACTTAGTTCACCCAAAAAGCCTATATTGAATAGCAGAAAAGTTCAATCTGGAGCCTTTTATTCCATTTATTTTCTGAGTTTGAAAATGATCAGGTGCAAATGGCCTCCACTGAGAGTTTCTTCATGACTTTTGGACATGGATCTCCTCCAAAAATTTCAGGTGAGACTGTCACTGCACACCAGTTCTGCCCAACACAATTCTGCAACAATAAAGTAATTATTGAATAATGAACTGAGTAAAAGGGGCCATATATACTTAAATGGATCATTTGACCTGTAGAGTTTAACTTAAAGCTATATCACTGGAGGAGAAATGATGTTTCTCAGGTGTCAAAAATGTATTTGGCTAAATAAACCATCCCATCAAACATAGAACAAGAAGTAATACCCTTTCAAAAGCATCATATGACTTGTGGGCATGACAGCTTCCTTCATGGTAGTTTCCACAAGACCCTACTGGGGTGCCAAAGCTAGCAAATTTGATTGATGAGATCTTTTGTCCAGGACCACATGACAAATGTGCTTTTGGTCTCACAGGTTTGCTGACTTTGCCAGAAGCTTGCATCTGATAACTTACAAGATTTGGCTGCCATTCATAAATATCAGCACATGCACTATCTATATCCCTTCTAACCAAAAAGATCCCATTGGGATCTCCACCCAATTCCTCAAACAAAACCAATAAGTTTCCAGTTGGCTTCAACCATGAATGAGGAACATGATACCTGAAATTATCAACCAGTTATTAGTTTGTCAAGAGTTTCTCACCAGCATTAAACAAAACTACAGAGCAAGCTAGATATTTCTCACCATCGTTGAGAAGCCTCGCCGCAGTTGCTTGTGCATTTCTTCTCATTATAACTTCCAGCATAGTCACAGTAATCACAAGAACCAGATGCTTTATAAGCAGGCCAGTAGCGGCCCAGACTCTGCCCATTTATCCACACTTGACCTTTGCCCATGCTGCCCATGTCTAAAGCCAATGGTGCACTTCCAGCTGGGGCATCAAAGGTAGTCTGTAATAATATAACAAAGTTGTTACTTCAAGTTCAGCCTTACAACAATTGCAGGCCAAAAGGGTCTCTTTTCTTGGCTGTTATATATCAACTTATTTGTATATGGTAACCATTTTTCAGTATATTCTCATTAACTAATTTCTCCTAGTTCATTTTTGTCAAAAACCAAAATTACATTTAGGAAGTCTCTGGCTAACACCAGATTCAATGGAAAGAAGAAAATCTGTTTAGTGGAAGATGCTTAGATGTAATTCATAAAAGGGCAGGTTGGTGTTATGAAGGGTTGAGGAATAAAAAGAAATAAGTGTGTTTTTTTTTTCTCCACAATGAAAATCTCTCCAGTTCTAGTGATAGTATTATTTATAAGAATAATAATTAAAGAGTAGCAAAATAAGAATAGGTAAGCATAAACAAATTTAAAACAAAGCCTAAACATATGTTTCTGTAAGTTTTGAATGTTACAGTGATATTATGATACTCACTTTGTACCATGTCAATGGCTGCCATCTGGAAACTAAATACCCCTGAAGCCACTCAACAGTGGAACTTCCACTAAGAGAATGAAGACTCAAGGCTTCACCTTTAAGACCAACCTAAATGAAACATGCATTCAAATGAATCTCAAGTAAACTGAAGCAATGATGAGAATGAAAATGAGAAAGAGAAAGCAGTGAATGTTTGAAGAAGAACCTTGTATGACCACTTCTGCCAAGTTAAGTCCCTTCTCCCCTCATCGAGACCATATAATGTAATTGGGCCAAGAACACCAGCATTCCATGTTTCAAAATGTGGACCAACATTCTGCATGTCAATAACAGGCAGCAAGTGAGTAATATAATCATGTTCCTAAGCCACAGTTCATGTTAAAATAAGATTGGTTTGGAAGTGCAGGGGTGCATCAGACAAACCGGGAGCCCAACTGCAACACTTAGAAGGGAGATTTTGTTAACACCAGCTCTGAGCTTCACACTCTCACTAAAGGTTAGTTTGGGGAATTCTTGGCTTCCATATACAGTTCCTGACCAAAAGAAGATAACCAATAGGCTCAATGTATCAAAGATGAATCTGAAGCTATTGGATAATTATTAGCATCAAAATAAAATAGTGTGCTTGGACTGTTTTAAATATAACAAGAAAGGTTAAGAAAGAATGGCAACATGATCTATGGTGTTCCACACCAAGTATTGAATAAACTACTCTATCATGTCTTGATATATTCAGTACATGCAATTGTCTAATTCATTGAGTTCACAAAATCATACATAGATTTTAAATGTTACCAAGAAAAATACAATCGTAGAAATTGAATATTTGTAGTGATTCCAGTAGCAAATTGTTCTTAGTTGTTGAAATAACTAGTGTTACTGAAATTGTGGAAACCAGTGGTATGCTACTAACCTGACAGCTGACTATTGATAAAAACATGCATAGCATGCCCAGCAGATAATACTGTAAGAACAGGATTCTTTCCATTCCTCAAGAATCCTTCATTGGGATTGATGACAACACTGTGAAGAAAAGGAGCAAGGTAAGTATTCAACATGAAGAAACCAAAATAAATAATAAAATTTATCAATAATGTTATAACCAAGGATTCTCTACAGAGTTATATGTCACTCACTCTGTAGAGTACCACAAGTAGTCAGATAAATCTCTGGTTGTATTTATCTGCTCCAACAGGCCAGTCACAGTGAAGGAACTATCATCAGTAGAGGTTGTCTCTTCATTAAATGCTTCCCAAGAGAGTCCTCCATGAATTGGAATACGAGTCATCTTCATCTGTGCTCTCTGGGAACCAACCTGTACAGGGATTCGGAATTATCATTATTGCTAAAATCAGCCACTGGAAAATTATTGAAAAGAACACTGTTCTCTTCACTGTAAATGAAACTTTAGCCAAATAAGAGCATGTAAATTTAAATAAGACCGCAAAACAAAAATAATTCCTTCTCTTTTGTATATGTCTACTTTCATGAAACATATAACTCAGAAAACTACAACTGCGTAAAATTAACAATTACAGAAAATTATTCAATCAAAATCAATTGCATGTACTTCATCAAGCTTAACAGTAACAAAATCTCCATTGTAAAGTCATCTGAAATAAAGGTTTGTTTCATTTTTTTCTCACCCTTGCAGTGTTATAAACAGTGTGCTTGCAGTCAGGAAGAATGCTTATAGACCAAGGAGGCAAGTTGTAATGAAGATTTCCAAATGCCACTGTTGCATAAGATTGTGGATTATAGTTTGCAAGGAATGCAGCACAAGCTCCAGATTTTGATTTGAAGACATGAGCCTGCATATTAGTGGTGAATGTTAAAATTTAGTTTGCTTACAAAGAATTTAAGATAGGATTGTTAATTCTCTGATAACTGAATTAAGTTATACCTCTTGATAGTTTCCAAGCCGTGTTACAGTAGGATCTCCAGATACCAAAGCAGGTTCACAAAGTTTTATTGCTCTGTGCAAATCCTTCAGATGACCCCACTTTGGCTGCCTGAGAAGCCCTGTATAGAGGAATAAAATAATATTAATCATCTATGAAATTAAAAAAAGAAGTTTATTTCATTCATGCATATAAATATATATGAACAATTTTCAGTTCTTTACATATAATATGAAAATGAATGAAGCATAGTCAAGGCAAGACACGGGATACACAGATTTGTCATATTTACAATCTGAGTTATAGAAACAGGCAAACTCAAGTAGTGATTGGCAGCAGTCATCTTTAGATCATCAGTACTGCATATATGAATTTTTCATTGCCACACAACAAATGTCGGGCAAGAAATAATATCATAATAGAATTTGCAGACAATAATAGTTATTCACTGAAATATAACAAAGTGATGCAATATTGACTAGGATTTTTGGTTAATGTAAAAGTATCAGAAGCAATGTTCAACTGTGCTATGTTTCACAGCAGTCGGTAAGGTTGCACAAAACTTATAATAAACTTGAGCTTTACTCCATAGATATGTCAAATTTAAAAACAAAAAAATTATCAAAATATCAGTAGATATGGACCATCGGTATTGGAATCCTTTGTGCATACCATATTCATCAATAGGTGCATCATAATCGTAGCTGGTAGCAATGAATGGACCACCAGCAGTTCGACCAAAATTCGTTCCCCCATGATACTGGAATGAACAAAACAAAGGGGATTTAGTTGGTTGAATGAAGAAAGGAAGGATCCACACATTGAAATCAACAAACACTGAAGTTACCATGTAATAGTTGACAAATGATCCCCCTTTCTGTATAAACCTTGCAACTGAAAATGCCATGTCCTCAGCAGGTCTATGAGGAACTGGACCTCCAAACTCAGTAAACCTATTAAGTTCACAAAACAAACGCAAGCAATGAACATTCAGGAAATACTCTTAGCTTGTATATTTCTCATTCCTAGGGAAACCTAAGAATTAACAAGGCACCAAATACAAGCTACATATTTATTATACCAGCCAGTCCAAGCTTCTGTCCACATCTTTGGTTTGTAAGCCTTATTTGGAGAGAAATAATCACAATAGAAGCCGTTGCAAGTGTTAATCTGCAAAATTTTATATTGGAATTAGAAGCTGGAATATGAGCCTAACTGAAAGTCAACACAACATAATCTGCAAAAGTTGAATTTACATGCAAATACAATACTTCTTGACTATATAAAACAATTTCTCTCTCCATCACTTATAACAGAAACTGACAAGACAGTCAGATTTTAGAACTTTCCCCACAAGTAATCAGGGTAAGTTCACTACAGTTATGATGCTCAATAGCTAGACATGATAATGAGAATAGTATTGAAAGGACTGAACCAAGGCAGATCTCAACCATGCAAAACAAGGAGTAATTATTCATTTCTTCCATTAGAAATATGAACATAACTTGCCGTATAGTATCCGACACCAACACAAAGGACAAAGCTATCAATATTAAAGAACATGTCTACAAAAGGTAAAAAGATTTTTCTTAAAAAGGTCAAAATCAGCTGAACTTACAACAGGATCAGGAGCATCATCTTGTTTGCACATGACCCATGGAACCCCAGTACCAAGTCCTACAGCCATATGTGCTGCCCACTGAGTGTAGGCCTTACCAGGAGCACCAATTTCATACTCCATAGGTCCATATTCATTTTCAATCTGAGTAAAAACAATGGTGAAATAAGGCAATACTTTCAGTATATATCTCCATTTTTACTCAATAAGTAACAGGGTTATAACTCTTCAAAAAAAAAAAAAAATTACTAGAAAATATAAAGCAAGTTACTGGATTAATCTACCTGAGATAGAATTATTGGACCACCCTGAGACTCGTATAACCTTTCTGCTTTCATCATATTGACTATCTTCGTTGTAAATTTTTGCATTTGAAACTTCATTACGGCAACATTAAAAAAATCAAAAATCAAAAGTTAATAGAAGGTAAAGTAATAACATCAAAGAAACATGAAAAATATGAGAGATTTTTCTTAGGGATTCTTAAAGGTATAAAAAGGACTGTTATCTTACCTTAAATGGTCCATTGTCTGTTCTGAAGTTGATACCTGGAATGTACTTGAGCCAAACTGGGAAACCGCTGAAAAATGAATCAGGTAAAGCTGTTAAGAAATTTCAAGTTCCGAAAAGAACAAAGATTGCGTTTAGAGGAAATTTAACTCGTTCATTACCCAAAGTTCCACTCAGCACAGACATAAGGACCAATTCTCAGGTGAACATGGAGGCCTGCTTGCTGTACCAGCTTTATGAACTTCACTAGATCATAGTTCCCCTCAAAATAATACTACATTAAACAAGAAAAAGAAGAACATTCATTATTTCTCGCTACTAAACTAAAAAAAAAAAAAAAAAAAAAAATGCATTGTTCAAACACTGAAAACAAAACTAGCAAGCATTGTTCATTACTTTGCCAGGTGAAGGTTCGTGCCCATTCCAGAAAACATAAGTCTGAATCACATCCAAACCTCCTTCCTTGGCCTTTTGGATAAGATCTGGCCACATCTGAAACAACAACCAATGAAACAACAATTTAGGAAAGCAAACAACATTTTTAAAAAAAGGAAGAAACTTTAAGGTACCCATTTGACAAAAAAGGCCAAATGGAAACAACCCTGAAGCACATTTCATGGAAATACCTCAGGGGTACTTCTGGGGTAATGAATGGATCCAGAAAGTAGTATCCTTCTTTGTCCATTGATGGTGATAGCCTTACTGTCATAGGACACAGAGGCTGCAGCATGACCAATCAGTGAACAAGCAAACACCACCAACAGCAACACATTACACATTATGAGCTTGAAGCTCATTATAGCAATGAATAATAAAGCTTCTGTTCCCTTAGCTTGGTATAGAAGTGGACCTTGCACACTTTATTCTATGCTTCAAAGTATAGAGAGAGAAATGCAAGGAGAGGGCTATGGTTGTCTCCCACTTTTGTTTTGTGTGTCTCAACACTCTTCCTTTCCCTTGTTATCTTTTTCTTTTTGCAGAATGGATGGATTGAAAAACAGTGTAAAAAGAAGGAAACATAAAAAATGAGAGCTTGGAATGAAACAGAGTGTTTTTTTTCTTCTTTTCTTCTTTTTGGAGATTACTTTATGTGAATGAAGGTTCGTTCTTATTGCAAAATGAAGGTGCTTTGCAGCTGTTTTTATAAACGCTGAGGAGTGAGCAGTGAATGGTCTTGGAAAGAGAATGGGTCCCATTTTCATGGGACTTTGGGACCCACGCATTGTCCTTGCTCCATACAAAGAAATCCATATCTAACTTTTTTTTGCCTTTTTTATTTTTTGTTTTATCTATATTATTTCAGAGTTTTATTAGTCTCATTTAACATAAGATAATTATCTTATGTTATAGAGAAAAAATAGGTAGGTCCCATCATTACAAGAAAAAAAGAAAAAGGTGGGATATGAAAATCGAAGTGAAAGAACATGAGAGAAGATATCTTATATAAAATAAGAGTAATATTCCCTATTATTTAATAAAAGAAATTATTATTCAATCAAGTTTCAATTTTGGGTATGTACATGTGTTGAAAGCTTTTGTATCCTTCTCTCCAATCAGATTAATTGGATAATTAATGAATTAATAGAGAAATTCTAAAAAAAAACTCTCTTTTTTTTGGTAAACTAATTTTTTTTAATTGTTGAGTTTAGTCACATATATTTCGTTCATCGTGTAATTAAAATTTATTTGTATTTATAATTTATTAATAAATGATTATCCTATTAACTGATTAAAACATTTTTTATTTTTTTCTCATTTTTTAAAAATTTTATTTGAAAATTTTTAGATTATTTTAAATTTATTCTCGTTTATTATAATTTACGACTAAATGTTTATAATTATATGAAGAGTTTGATATTTGTCATTTTAAATGATATAAATTATGCCATTTTAAAAGAGAGATACACAAAAAAAATGAAAATCATTAGAGAGAAGATGGATGGTTTTTTTTAATTTAATTTTTAAATAAAAAATATTATTTTACGTATATTTCTCTGTTAATATAACATAACTTTATGTTATTTAAAATTACAAATATTTTTTTATTATATGAATTAAAAAAACAGATTTACTGTCATCATTTATTATTAATGTCAAAAAAATTTATTAAGGATTTCAGTTAACTTAACTGGTATAAAAAAAACGTTACTATTAATCATTTTAAATAATATAGAAGTGTTATTTTAGTCAATTTATAATATTTATAATTACCACTAGGGTTAGCCTAGTGGTGTGGGGTGTGTGTGTTAGGAGTGTGTGTAGTGTAGGGTGTTGTGTTCAATTTCTTGTAACCTCAAAAAAAAAAATATTTATAATTAAAAAAATAGTTAGACAATAAAAATTATGATGAAAGAAAATTAATTTTTTTAATTTAAATATTAAATAAGAAATAATTAATTTAATTTAAATAGTTATACTTTAAAAGAAAAATAATTTTTCCTTAAAAAAAATAGGAAATTGGCGGATTTCTGAAAACGCGTTTTTCGTGATTTCTTAAACAAAACGAGAAACGACAAAAAGATTTTTCACCCAATTCCGATGTTGTCGGCTTGCCCTTTATAAAATTGCAATTTTATTTCCACGCGCGTGGCTGAAACTGAAGACACAACGAAAATGAAAAACCTATATGTTAGTTATTCAATATTTTTTTGACTCGCTGGTTTCATTCACATAAGAAGCAAATCACCAAAAAAGAAAAGTATGAAAGTTCATTGAATAAAAGAATATTTGCGGTTAACATTATTTTGAAAATTATTAAAATAAATTAATCTAAACAAAGCTAAAGCTAAAGCTAAAACAGTTTTTATAGGTTTCTCATTTATTTCACTGCTTACGGTATTTTAAAGCCAATGACGGCAGAATTGGACATTTATGTGATATCATATTTGCACCCAAGATTTGGTTGGGAGTTAGTAAACATATTAATTTCTTATCTAAAGTTTTCACTTTTTTTATTGTTGGCGTTCATAACTCTTCACGATATTAAGTTCAACTGCCATACTTAATTTATTTTACCATTAAACCCAAATGAATACACGATAATAATAATAAAATTCTTTTATAACATGTTTGCAAATTGTCTGAATATATTATTTATACAAATCCTTAATTATTGCAATAAATAAATCATATTATAAGTAGTAATAATTTTAAAAATTATTATTATTATTATTATTTTGAAATAAAAAAGTTTAAGTGAAGTTAGACACCGATTTTTTACTAGAATCAGGAAAAACCATTCAACCTCTTTGAAGATTTTCAGAAGAAATTACATATCACGTACTAACAAAGTCCTCACATCGAATAATGAGATTTGAATTCATGTCCTTATGGGATATGGAACAAATTCTTAGTCAACTATGTCCATTTTGTTGGCAAAATAATTTTTAATTTTTTATATCTCAAGTATATGACATCATTTTTCAAATCCTTATTGCTTAAAACTTCCAGAAACATCAGTATATTCTATCAAAGGTAACCTTAGTCCTATAAGAAACCTTTCATTTTCAGAAATCAAAAAGGGATTGATGGGTTTACTTTGCGGAAGGATAAAGAGAAAGAGAGAAAGGAAAACAACAACTGAGATGCTTTGTGAGGTAAAAGCATTATCTGAATGGATTTCCGTTACAACTTCCAAGTCCAATTACAAAGCAAAGAAACCCAGAAGGTTACATATGCATGATTGCTAACACCAACTTGGCAAGTGGCAACCTCACTTCCCTTCTTTTTTTCATGTTCGTCAACAACTAACTAAAAATCAAAGTATCAAATAAAATCCTAACGTTAATTAAAGCCATGCATATCATATTTGATGCATATGTTTAGATTTAGACATAAATTATAAGGCGTCTTTGACGTCTCACCTTCCATCAATATTTGAGTGGGTTTCCATTACTTACTTTTCAAAGACACACAAGAAGTGATAGTTGTTGGCTTGTGCTTAATGGTTAAGGAATGTTGGTATAAAGTATTTATGAAAAGAACGAGTCTTAATACTCTAAATAAATATTGGTCTTACAATTTATACCAAGAAAGTGTGAGGATATTTTAGGAGGGAACGGATCCACTTACCACCAAAAAAGTTCACAACTCTTACAACTAATTTAATCACCGTTGATTTTCGTCAATCTAACGGTTATAATTTGTTGAGAATTAATAAATGTGACACAATAAATGTTATTAATTTATAACCGTTAGATTGACGAAAATCAACGGTTATTAAATTAGTTGTAAAAGTTATAAACTTTTTTGGTGGTAGGTGGATCCTCCCACATTTTAGAAAACAAAAAAGTAAATTACATTCGAAAATGTTAAAATTATAATGTCACGTTTTTTTATTTTTGAAAAAGTAAATTTTTCTCTCAGAAAGATAATATATGTTACATTTTAATTTATTTTAATGTAATTTTTATAAAAGACAGTTTTTCTCTCTATGTCACTTTCAACATCATTAGTGACTATAATCTTTGAATTTTAGAAAATGAAATGATGGTTTTAGGTCTTCATTTCATATTCAAAAGTCTTAAAATTAATGACAAGGTGTTCAAAATTAGCTGGAGACACTAAAAGTCATAAAAAGGGGGGAAATATTCCTAAAAATCAAATTTTATACTTCTTCAATATCACTTGAGTCTTGAGTGATTCATTTATATTAAAATGAACTAAAGTGTAACAATTTTATTTATAAAAAAGGAGAGTGTAATTTTGTAAAGTAGTGAGGAGAGCAACATAATTTAAGCCTCTCAAAATAGAAGGCAGGGGAGTGTAAATTACTCAAAAAAAAAAAATCTAAATGTTAAGAATATAATGTTATTGTTGTTCATAATAAAAAAAAAGGTGCCATATGAAAATGGATAAGATTTGCTTCTTCTAAAGGAATACATAAACTTTACAGACTAAATCCAAGAAACCTTGATTCTTGGCAATTATTGAAGTATTTTTAATTTGTGTGGGAAACTTCCCATACAGATCAACATGAAACATCCGGATGCTGTGGAACTATTTGATCAATTACCCCACAAAAACAAATAAAAAATGTAAATTGTTGAAAATATTATAAAGGAAAAATAGGATAAAAGGAATCGAATATTATATGGAGTACCTACAAGAGGTGAGTAAAGTACATACAAACAACTCATTGAAGTGACGAGATCTAAGGATACATATCTTGCAAGGAATTGTTTCGTTTAGTGCCCAATAATTCATCATAGGTTTTTTTTTTTTTTTTTTTTTTTAAAGAGGGGCAAAAGCTCCAAACAAAACAAAAATTACACGACGCGAGAACTTAAAAGATCTACAGAAGCATCCTGAAGAAGGAGCTCTAACAAAGGAGAAGGAGGAGAATGATAAACAATAAGATTATTATCATCCTCAAAATGCCTAGAAGCAAACCAGTGAGCACATCTGTTATTTTCTCGAAAAGTGTGGACCCAACGAACATCCCAATCTTCAGCAAGCCATTTGTGAATACGGGAAACAACCTGAGAGTTTCTGTGATTATTGCTCCCTTCTTGGATAGTGTTAAGAGCAATTTCTGAGTCACATTCCAACTCCACTCTCCTAGCACCAGTACCCCAGGCCAGCTCTAAGCCTTTGAGGATACCCCAGAGTTCTGCATCAAGAGGATTACAGAAACCTAATCTGAAAGAGAAACCACCCAGAAAAGCACCATTGTGATCTCTAGCAAGGCCTCCACAGCTAGCATGCTGCCTAGATAAGGAAGAAGCACCATCTGTGTTAATCTTCAACCGACCAGGTTCAGGACGACACCATTTAGTAGGCTGATGGGCATTAGGGAACCTGCCAAGAATGCTTCTATTCTTA